TATGTAAGTAGATTTTAACGGTTTTTATTAACAGAATTTTACGAAGAGTAAATGTGTCACAAGGTACAAGTTTGGGATTTTTGGTGTCACGAAAAAAAAGTTTAAAGTAAATATGTGACAATGGACAGAATTTAGGGTTTTTGGTGGCATTTGGCATAACTTTTTTTTTTTTGCTAGAAGCATTTGGCATAACTTGAATGTGGAGAAAACCGTCCTAGGAGAATAGAGACCACAAAGCACAATGTAAAGGCAAAACTACCCTCCAAAGCATAATTGAGGTTTAGGGCTTGTTTGTTTGAGCGAAAGAATTTGTTGTGAATTAATTTTCTGGATATTCACACATTTGGTTTGTTGAAATTAGTCAATAGAAAATCATTTATGGTCAAAGAAAATATGCATGCTAAAAGTTTGGAAAATGAATTCCCCAATCTAAAAAGGGGAAGATATTATCCTAGAAAATGATTTATTGCAAAGCATTTTCCTTTATTATGAAATTTTTCCCGAAACAAACACACCCTTAGAATAAATTATTTTGTCGAGGATTGTCATGTAATATTGAATTGGATATGGCTAAACACTGAGACTCTGTTTGTTTCGCGGGACATGAATAATTTGGAAAGCATTTTCTTAGAAGCTACCGCTTATATTGCTTGAAATAATTAATCGGTGATAAATATTTTTATTATCGACAACAATTTATATCAAAACATTTTCGTAGATGATCAAGATATTTCTCATTCATTCATTTTTGTAAGCAATACGAGTGATTTTTTTTAAAAATTTATTTATTTCAAATCATTCGTTTTCCATGAAACAATCACACCCAAGTCCCAATTTGTAGCACACTTTCTCTCTAACGAGTTCACACTACACCATTGGCGGTTACATAGAATGCTCCTCAGCAACTCATCATATCATTTGTATGTCTTGCCATCTTTCTCGTATGGTTAATACCATAAAAAAACTCCGAACTGGCATACCTGTGACAAATATACTCCAAACTAAATTTTTTATCACAAAAAACCCCAAACAAGTATACTTGTGACAAATTACAAAGATAAGTTATTTATGTATACATAAAAAGGCATGACATAATAAAAAGATTAAATAAAGAGAAAAGCTAAATGCAAGAATAGATATATAGTTGGTCTTGTGAAGATGGACCAGGTTGGGTAAGTTGTATCATAAAGCCCAAGAGGCCCATTTCCCTTTGTTCGTTCTCTCAGCCCACTTTATTACTGAAGATATAATTTTGTTAATTAAAATTAGCAACTAACTTGATAAACTCATAATTATTTAGGAAAAATGACACAAACAGTCCTTAAACTTTGGCCAAATGTACAATTCGATCCCTAAAATTTTTAATTTGTTCAATGTAGTCCTTGAACTTTAGCCTAATGTTCAATGTGATCCTTGAACTTTTAATTTGTTCAATATCGTCCTTGGATTTTTGTTGTGTCATTTCCCCTAATTATTTTCTTTCCGACTATATACACCAAAAGAAGAAAAAAACTAATTGCCATTAGAGGTTTTGCCCAAATCGTTTACTCTCTTCTATTCCCTCTACTTCCTCTTCTTATGAAAAGAATTTTCGAAAACCTTTTAACCCTTTGTCGAAATTCAATTATTCGAAAGCCGTTTCGATCTCACTCAACCGATACATTTGATTAAGCCTATCTTTTTATGGCCTACTAGCAAGGAAGCAAAGAGGAGCGAGGACTCTTGTTAAAGACAAGTGAAATCTAATCCCTTCGCTTCACGCCAGGCTAAGTTAGTACACAAAGATTTAAGATCATTTCTTCGATTTACTCTTCATTTCCAAGTCCGTAGCCGTCGCAGTAGCTTCATCCATGTTACCTACCAAATTAAAGATTTTCCCTTTTTCGAAATTCAATAATTCGAAAGCCGTTTTGAGCCGGCTCAACCGATACTTTGGATTAAGCCTATTTTTTATAGTCTCGTGATTAGAGTAAGGCAGAGTAGGCCGATCGATGTGTACTCGAAAGATACCATACGGTGCCTAGCAATCGGTCAACGAGAGTTCGACCTGCCTTCCCATGACCGTTGCGACTTTGGGCCGGCTCGTCGGGCAAGCGGGACGAGACGAGCCCTGAATTGCACGGCTCTCTATGTAGCACGTGAGGTGCCAAAGGACATGGCCGAAAGATGTTGACCCGAAATTGACTCCTTCCTCTCGTATGGCCGAAAGAGAAACTCCATGGTCGGATTTTACCTACCAACTTTGTGGAGTGCAGAATTCCAACAAGTTTTGAGTTTTGACTGCTCGATTATCTTCCCAAGGTCCAGTCCTCGAGAAACTATAGAAAATTGCCAAAAGAAGATCGATTGATAAAGTTTGACCATGGTCACGATCTACAGCAGCCTCTATATATATATATATATATATATATATATATATATATATATATATATATATATATATATATAAATGCAAATTCGAAACATTTTTCTAGGGAAGTTCATATTAAGTCAGCGGTGGGATGGATGATGAGGGGCACCAATGGCAAGCTAGAAAGGTCAACACGAGCTTTCTTTCTTCTTTTTTACCCTTGAGAGATTGATCTCTCGTGATATCTAAAATCAAAATTAATCGCTCCGTCGCAGCCGAGGTTAAGTTCCGAGGGGGTCTGATGAATTGCCGAGCGGGCGCGAATCGCCCCTCTCTCGAGGTGGTGCCCGCGCATTGCCCGGGCTCTCCTAAGCTATACTGATCGTAACGTTAATATACTCATTTTCACTATGCTGATGGTTTTTTTTCTTTTTAAGGGAGATGACGCTAATCTATTACGGACCGACTATAATTCGTCTCTTTTCTCTACGAACCAGAGATTCGGGACACGCGGATCGGGTTCCGCCGGATGATTAGCCACCACCCTAAATCAAAAACCTTTTCTGATTCCCCGCGAAAGCCGATAACTTCATGCTCAATTCGCTTGTGAATAGATAGGAACAAAGAGGCAAATCTTACCACGTTGTTGCCAAGCTTTATCCGGTCCTTTTATGTAGTAATAGTGAACGAGATAAGATTAAGATCCTTTTCGATTTTCTCTCGGCGGAAATTGCGCATGATTAAAAAGCCCTCTTTTGGCTTCAAATGCAAAGCCAAATTTGGGAAAAGCCATAAACAAAAAAAAAAGAGAACGGACCTTCGCGAAGGAGCTTTGCATTTTATTAATAAAAAAATCGAAACGGGGCAAGTCGCACGTGGAAATGACCATTAAAAAAAATGTCCCAGATCGATCCGAAATCACGCATCTAGCCCTTACTCGCCAAGCAATCGCGGATGGAAGTGTCAAATCGATCGCGAAATCACAAATCTAGCCCTGACCACACCCCCGCAGAGGCCGCAAGATCGCTCTCGCGTCGAGGGTACTTACGTCATTTCGATGCCAGGTCGGCGGGCTCCGGCGGAATTAAGCCAGCGCACCGAGGGTAAAAGCCTGGAAAGGGAGGAGGTGGGCATTATGGTCTTTTCACCGGTCGCCGTATTTATCGGCAAAGCAGCTATTTCTGTGATTATTTTTTTAAGGAATATGTGCACCAGAAGTCCTAAAATTTGTCACAAAAGTGTAATTGAGTTCTAAAACTTTAAAAAAGTGCAAACAAGTCCTAAAACTTATCACGAAAGTGCACTTAAGTCCTAAAACTTTAAAAAAGTGCAAACAAGTCCTAAAACTTGTCACGAAAGTGCACTTGAGTCCTAAAATTTTAAAAAAGTGCAAATAAGCCCTAAAACTTGTCACGAAAGTGCACTTGAGTCCTAAAACTTGTCACGAAAGTGCAAACAAGTCCTAAAACTTTCAAAAAGTACAATCAATGGAAAGACTTGATTAAACCAATTTGACAAGTTTTAGGACTTGTTTGCACTTTTTTAAAGTTTTAGGACTCAAGTGCACTTTCGTGACAAGTTTTAGGACTTACTTGCATTTTTTGAAAGTTTTAGGACTCAATTGCACTTTTGTGACAAATTTTAGGACTTTGAATGTACTTTTTTTTTATAATTAATTTCGTCTGTAAACATCAAAATCAGCAAATGCAAAAGTCTCGAGCGAAATTTTCCCGCAAAGAGAGAAAATAAATTGAAAAAAAAGAGAGCACTTTGACTTGGATAGGTGTAGGTGGACTAACATAAAATAGTTGATCATGTGGAAATCGGGTGAGTTAAATAATAAGGCTGGCTTCAATTAGCTTTACGGTACTTTGGCTGGTCGGTTAGAGCTAAGTTTAGCAATATTTATTCTCCTTAATTTCTATTTTCGGCACTAATTTACCGAGTACCGCCTAAAGTCGCTCGATTCCTATGCTCGAGAGACTGCATCTAACCCTCACCGGGTTAATGTTCTTCGACCACGAATTTTTCTCTACAAAATTTCGTGAATGACCCCCGTCTGTAAAGACGGATTATTGTGGCCGAATTACAAAATAAAAATCGAGGCGTAATTGACATTTAAGTTTTCGCACTTTCTAAATTTGGATTTGACCCATTTGTATCTCGCAAATTATTAATCCGTAATTTAAATTCAATTAAATCTCTGAACCATACATTCTTTTGAAAGATGCTCCGTTTCTTTTTTTTTTTTTTCCGGGCAGTTTCTCTTCCAGCGCGACTCGTGCGCTCTTCTCTTCTCAACAAGGAAATACAGAGCGACGCTGATTTGACCGACCTTATCTTCTTAATTACCATACCCATTTAAACTGGACGGAGACGGGATTATTCCACAAACCCGTCGTCTTTTTTAGCTCCCGAGTGGAAAATCTTAAATTTTTTTCCTAGGTTAATAGGATTCATGTCCTAATTAGAGCATCTCATGCCTAAATCTTCATATATATATGCCCCCCTGGCCGGTCTCACTTTCCCTTGTCCCCCCTTTTGTTCTGATCTGTTTTTCCTCCAAACTTTTATTTGCATTAAGCCTTAAAAATTTTGAGGTTCTGCTTCTATTCGCCTACAGACAGATTCCTCTCTCTTCTTCTTCTTCTTCTTCCCTCTTCTCCTTCTCCTTCTCTCTCTTTCTCTCTCTCTCTCTCTGTGTTCTCTGCTTCTGTGTTCGCTCGCGAAACCTACTCCTCCTCTCGTTCATGGCGTAGAGCGCCGAAGGCACAGAGAAGAAGCTCGAGGCGGAGCTTCTGCGTCTTCCAGATTGGGGAGCCGAGAGCTTTTCCCCTCGAACCGCTCGGTCGGGAGTCTTGGAAATCGACCAACATGTCCCAGACCAACTGGGAAGCTGATAAAATGTGAGTTCTTTCGATGCTCCGAGGTCGTCTTGGTCGTTTTGATGAAGTGGGGTTTCGCCATTTTGCTCGATTTCGCTCGTTTATGGAGTGTGCTGCTGTCCTTGCTGGGGTTGCTTCTGTTTGCCCTGCTCAAGATTTGTGCTTTTTCTGTTTATTCGCTGCTCGCGCGATTTCTTCTCGTGTTTGCATTATCTTTGGGCGATTTCGGGGGGGGGTCGTGTATTGTCAAGCAAAAATTTTTTTTTTCCGGTTGGTGTTTGCTGATTACTCTCCCATTTAGGTCGATTCAATCTGCTAGACGATTGTTTTTTCTAATACCTTGTCTTCTGTTTCCAAGATAATCGTTGTAATTTGTTCCTAGTGTGTGCTTCATTTAGGTTTGTAGTTTTAACTTGCCGAAAAAACTATGCTTTGATTACAGGTTGGATGTTTACATCCATGATTATTTAGTGAAGCGAGACTTGAAAGCCACTGCTCAGGCTTTTCTAGCTGAAGGGAAAGTGTCCTCTGATCCTGTTGGTGAGAATCTCCTTTGGCTAAGAAAGAACTGTGGATTATCTCTTTTAAGCTTTGGATTCATTTTAAAGTACTGTAAATTCCAAAATTTCCTTTTTTTATTCGGTCTTTTTTTCCCCCTGTACTTAAGTTTGCTGCATATTTGCAGCAATTGATGCCCCCGGAGGCTTTCTTTTTGAGTGGTGGTCGGTTTTCTGGGATATTTTCATAGCTCGGACCAATGAAAAGCACTCAGAGGTTGCAGCATCTTATATTGAGGTTGGTTTTAAAGAAATTTTTGGTACTTTGGCTTGAATTGAGGATCTTTCATAGGGCCGTAGATGGTGAAGGTGAAAATGAAATAACACTTTGCTGAAGTTCTCTGTTTCATGGCTATCCTAATGAGAGTTGCAGTTTTATCATCCCCACACCCCTGTTTTTCATTAGAACATCTGTCCTGTTTTGGCAGAAGCTGCAATGTTTAACCATCTTATAAGTCACATTTTTATTGCACATGATGTCTGCCACAGTATTGTTGCATATATGCTATCAAGTGCTTGATCCCATTGCCCTGTTAAATAGCTTCGTCATGCTAGAGGTTTGAAGATGGCCTTGTTTGTTTGTGGCAAAACTGATATTTAGTGTTTGTCTGGTTGAGATGAATATCCTCCTTGGTTGGACACTTGACTTAGGTTGTGTTTGTTAAACTCGATAAGTGCCGAAAATTGTGATTTTCAGCACTTTATGGCATTCCAAGGGCTTGATAATGTCCAAATAACCGGCACTTTATATAAAAAGTTCAGTTAACATTAAAATAACTTAACCTTTAAAGTACAGGGATGCCTACTTGATTTCTGTATTGAACATTGAACTGAGTGGGTGCTTCGTGTTGGCATATATACACTTCATCCTTTGCATTGGCATTGAAAGAACATAATAAGAATGATATCATTCAACCTCATACCCGTTAAATGTAGCAGATAACTGTTTTGCCTGAGAATTAATATGTATTAGAATAATAAGAGCTAGCAAAAGCACTCCCCTGAAATCTTATAATACCATCTTTTGTCCGGAATTCTTTTCTAGTTTTCCGTGTTACCCTGTGGCTGGACTTTATTTCAATTGCATAATCTCCTTCCACCAACCCAAGCTATTTGCTGTGTAATTAAATTCTTATATCCTTTTTTGGTCATGACTTGGTGGTCTTCAACTTGTGTGTGCATGAGAGAGAGAGAGAGAGAGAGAGAGAGAGAGAGAGAGAGAGAGAGAGAGAGAGAGAGAGAGAGAGAGCTGTTTCTTCGTTGCCCTGTGGAATGTCAATATCTCATGGATAGTACTGGGAAAATTGTGATGTATACAATAGAGTGAACTTTTTTCCTCATAGGAATTAAAGCGAAACCTTTTCTTTTGGTTAACTCAAATCTCTGTAAACATCTGAAAGGTGTTGCTGGTCTTTTTTCTATGCAGTGTTTTATAGCATAACAGAAATTCTGAGGTGTTGAGGTTCCAAAGCAATGTTACTCGTAACATTTAAATTGACAGTAAGGGTAGAATGGTAAAAGTCGTAAAATTGTATTTTTTTCATCCTATGATTGGAAACGATACGAGTGGATTCTGTATTTGAACTTAACATGTTTTCAAATAGATTTCGTTTTGGAGTTTTAACACTAAAAAATTAAAAGTCAGTCCATGGCTTCGCAGTTTTATCGAACACAAACTTAGATTTTAAGGATCTCTTCGGTCTTTTCTGACTCAAAGCGTAAAACAACATATTCTGGTGTCTGAACGGGAACTTAGTGATTTATCGGGGGTTAGCCTGCTTGATGGAAGGAATTTTCTGTGCGATTTGATCCAAGACAATATCTTATTTTGCTAGCTTGAGACATCTCCTGTCATTGTTAGTTCAATATAAATATGCTTGCGTATTTACATACCTTTCTGAATGATCCATTTTTTTGCTTCTGTCTAGTTTATAGAATAAAGGTTTAGTGTAATCAAGCTAGCATATTTTGATATGCAGACGCAGTTGATCAAAGCGAGGGAGCAGCAGCAGCAGCAGCAGCAGCAGCCGTCCCAGCAGCCACAGCATCAGCAACAGCAGCAGCTACAAATGCAGCAACTCTTTTTGCAGAGACATGCGCAGCAGCAGCAGCAGCAGCAGCATCAGCAGCAGCAGCAGCAACAGCAGCAGCAACAGCAGCAGCAGCAGCAGCAGCAGCAGCAACAGCAGCAGCAGCAGCAGCAGCAGCAACAGCAGCGAAGAGATGGAGCGCATCTTCTAAATGGAAACTCCAACGGGCTTGCAGGAAATGATCCCCTAATGCGACAGAGTCCTGGAGCTAATGCCCTGGCCACAAAAATGTATGAGGAAAGATTAAAATTGCCACATCAGAGGGAAGGTTTGGATGAAACAGCTATTAAGGTTGGACCCTTTCTGAGTTGGTATGGGAAAGCTTGGTAGTCTTGGTAGATTGAAAGAGTCGGTATTCTTTTCTGTTTTGCAGCAGCGTTTTGGTGAGAATGTGGGCCAGCTTTTGGATGCCAATCATGCATCAATTCTGAAATCAGCTGCTGCCACTGGCCAGCCTTCGGGGTGAATCTCTTGTGATACCTAGGCTTTGTCATCATTATCCGTTATCTTATGATTTTCCACATGAGAACATGAGATTAAGTGAAAATTTTTGCTCTCACACTTTCAATGAGTTTCTACTTAGTGCCGGGGGGAGAGGTTCTTCATACTACCAGTGCAATCTTTTGGCTCAAAGAACTGATTACTAGTCAATTTGGTGCACTGAGGGAAACATATGCATGATGTACTCTTTACCAACCATGTTACAATGATGTCATTAATGTGCAGTGTAAAACTTGATGTAATGATGTTACATACTAAACTCTGACGGAGCCTGTTCGATACAAATTTTTCATGTTTTTCGGATTGATAATCTTGACTAGATATACACAGCTTGCACTCACTTATTGATGAGAAAAAATGTCAAATTGTTGCTGGAAGGATCATTTTTTTGGTCTCTGATGGTGGCATTTTTGGTCTTAGGCAAGTGTTGCATGGTACTGCTGGTGGGATGTCTCCACAAGTTCAAGCTCGTAACCAACAGCTGCCTGGATCCACACCGGTATGCGAAATTTCTTGAAAGATGCCAAACCTTTGATTTGGATATGTATATGCATTATCTGCAATGTTCTTATCAATGACTGGGATCAGGACATAAAAAGCGAGATCAATTCTGTGTTGAACCCCAGAGGCCCTGGTCCAGAAGGATCTTTGATAGGAATTCCTGGTATGTTGTTAGCGTCTATTTGTATGAAAGTGACAATTATTGATGTAAATTATGTGCTTATTTGCTGTGTGTAATTTCTTGCTTTCTTTTCTGAAGTCTGCATGATGTCGAATTAAAAAACTAAAAGCAATCAAGATAAGCTGAATAATGAATTTACTGCTAACCACCGCTGATTTATCTTTATTGGCCAACTGTTACTAACAATGACATTTCAACTAACCTCAATGGTCGTGATGCATCAGGGTCAAATCAGGGTGGTAATAATTTGACTTTGAAAGGCTGGCCCCTTACTGTAAGTTTCTCTCTCTCACTCTCTCTCTCTCCCCTTTTGTTGATTTTAACAAATAACATCAGTATTTTTGGCTATAGTTGTGATATATGAAGGCACACATTTTAAAAGTCCTGTTCTTGGGCATCTTTGATCCTTAGGGACTAGATCAGCTTCGCACACTTCAGCAGCAAAAGTCCTTTATACAAGCCCCACAGCCGTTTCATCAACTACAGATGCTACCACAACACCAGCAGCAGCAGCTTATGCTTGCTCAGCAAAATTTGACCTCACCATCTGCCAGTGAAGACAGCAGAAGACTCCGGATGCTTTTGAACAGTCGGAATATAATGGGCAAGGATGGACTTCAAAATTCCATTGGAGATGTGGTCCCGAACGTTGGATCACCTTTACAAGCTGGTGTACCTCGAGGGGAGACAGATATGCTGATGAAGGTGCTTCTTATGCCTATTGTTTTTTCCCCCTGAATCTGTTTTGCTGTATTAGTTCTTTGAGAGTTTTCCCAATGTCGTTTTGATGAAAGTTTGATAGTCATTTTGACTGGTAAATGTTACAATGGATGTAGTTAAGGTTGGCTCATTATCAACAGCAACAGCAGCAGCAGCAGCTCCAACAGAACAGTAATCCTCAGCTGCAGCAGCAGCACCACACTATTGCGAATCAGCAATCTCAGAGTTCGAACCACAATCTTCATCAACAAGAGAAAATGGGTGGTGCTGGCAGCGCTAACGTGGATGGTACCATGTCGAATTCCTTTCGAGGAAATGATCAGGTCTGTCCAAATGGCAATTACCTTTTCTAGTACTTGAATATTTACTCCACTTAATTAGTATGCCCTTTGGTTGTGATTGTTCTTGGTACTTCTTGAATGTGTGCAATTCTGACTGGCCCTGCAAAATCTTTTGGTCTCAACTCTCAATTAGTGCCAGAAGAAGGACGTTGCTTTAGTCTCAAACTTGCATGATCTCTATTCTCCTCACCAGTGTTCAGTGTTCACTTGAGAACTGTTTAGCTGCCAACTTGACATGTGCCTTTCCTATGATTTTTTTCCCTGATATGTAAGATATTGTCGCAAGTTCTAGAGCTTTGTCAATAAATTACAGAGGTGAAAGATATCTGCTATGGGAGTCAGAGGTTAAGGCCATCTTTTAATTTTCATGTTATATTTTCTGGGAGGAGTTGGAAGCTTTTCCTATGGGCATCCAATAATTTCATTGACATCGTTCTAAAACTCTTTAAGAAGAGGCTCTTCTTAGCAGAATCACCTGAAGACTGCTGGATAGATTTACTGTTTACTTCTATAATATTTATGTAGCTGGATTCCTAACGTCTTCCTTGATGTATTTAAGGTTTCAAAAAACCAATCTGGGAGGAAACGAAAGCAGCCAGTGTCATCTTCAGGTCCTGCCAATAGCTCTGGAACTGCAAATACTGCAGGTCCCTCCCCTAGCTCTGCACCTTCTACACCATCAACTCACACTCCTGGTGATGTGATGTCTATGCCTCCATTGGCACATAGTGGTAGTTCGTCCAAGCCATTAATGATGTTTGGCGCTGAGGGCACTGGAAGTCTTCCATCGCCATCAAATCAATTGGTCAGTCAGATTTAGACTCTGTTGTTGGCTGGCAATAATCATCTAGCACGAATTCAGTTATATTGTTAAGTATTGATCTGGATCTTCAATTACAGGCAGATATGGATCGATTTGTAGAGGACGGATCTCTTGATGATAATGTTGAGTCTTTTTTATCTCATGATGAGACAGATCCTCGAGATACTGTTGGTCGCTGCATGGATGTCAGCAAAGGTACCTGAGAACTCTTCATTAATGAAAAATTTTGGTGACATGCCAATCTTTAATTGTAGTTTTTGAACTAGAATGATCTGACATGTTCTATTCTATGTACTTTAGATTTTCTAGGGAAACATGGTCATCAAAATTGCTATATTTGTTCACATTGTTGTTTTCTGCTCCAAATTTAGATCTGTTGTGCATAGCGGTGAAAGAAATCTGTCAGCCTCCTGTTTCTTGGAGGCTTCACTGATCTATTGATTCCTATAGATGTTGTTGGGATTTATTTTGTCCTTCAGTCTGAAACACTATTACCAATTCACGCACTCTAGTGCGTCCTCCTGAGCCTTTTTCCCTTTTAAAAAATATTTAAGATTTTGTGCACCATGAGCTCAGAGTTTAACTGGTAGAAACAGAAGAGAACCATACAGAAAAACTACTTTTTCAGAAGGACTTATCTTTGACTGACAAACAGAGAAACATAAGTAGTATAAGCAGAAAAGGACCAAACTCAATAAACTAATTTACAACGAAGGAAATGCCTTTCACGACAAGCTTTTCACTAATGAACTTTCAAGATAATTTGTAATTTCTCTCCATCACTTCTATCTATATGGAAAGAAGGAAATGAATGTCACCAGTTGTCACATGATGATAACTAGCATGCCTCTGAAATCAAGTATAACTTTCCTCAAGGTAAATTTTTATTAACCATAAAATCCTGATGAATATTTTTAGTTAATTAATGGAAGAACTTTGCCTTTAGATGTTCTTCCTTGTTATTAATTTAGACTATCATTCTCAGGTCCTTCTAATTGAGGTTTGATTCAGAATCATTTCCCTAGTTGGCTGAATGATGAAGTGTCTTTCACAATTTCACTCATAGTGTTCAAATTGGGTGCTACAGAATTCTCATTTACTGAAGTGAGTACTATTCGAGCAAGCACCAGCAAGGTTGTCTGTTGCCACTTCTCATCAGATGGAAAACTGCTTGCTACTGGTGGACATGATAAGAAAGTAAGTTATGGGCAGTTATATGTAGACATGATGATATGCTGTCTTCTGCCATAGTCTGATGTGGGATGGTTCAATTTCTGGATTATGCAGGCTGTGCTGTGGTATGTAGATACTTTAAAGACAAAAACAACTCTGGAAGAACATTCTTCTTTGATCACAGATGTTCGATTTAGTCCAACCATGCCACGCCTGGCAACATCTTCTTTTGACAAAACTGTCAGAGTCTGGGATGCTGACAATGTTGGTGAACATAATATCTCGTTGACACTGGTGTTTTTTAGATTTTTCAATTCCTTTTGTCTTTGAAGCTTCTTGCAACAGCCTTCTGATATACTGAACTCCACGAGGTGTCTGTCTGTCTGACTATAAAGTACTGATGAAATTTCAAAACTTTTTGCACTATGATATAAGTGCGTTTCATGCAAGTTTGTTGTTTCTGGCATGAACAATCTAATGAAACCTATTTTTTTTTTTATTTACCCTGGAAAGTTACGTAGAACATGATCTCCACTTGTAGCTCCAAGCTAGCAGATGTATTAGCATGAGTTAATTGACAGGACTTTGAATGTATAGTTAGTGTATGATGGGGAAGGGTGAAGAAGTAGTTAATCTGTCCCTTAGAGCTGGCCACTGAAGATTTTGGTCTTTTACCGGAATGGAACAGGAATTTTAATTAAAGCTGGTCACCTGTTATTATTCAGATACTAGGATATCCCTGTATTTGGCTTGTAGCCACTTGCAATATCAATAAGAAATGATTTTGTGGTCGATTTTTGGCTTGTAGCCCTAAGAGTTGCCATTGTTTTAAAATCTGAACATTGAAATTTTGGGAAAACACACACACATATTGAGTTGATATTATGAATTTATCGCCTAAGTGTCCATGTGAATGGTTATGCAATCTGACTGTTGTTTAAAACCTAGAGAGTTGCCTCAATATATCAAGTTCTCTGAATTTCCACACTTGTTTACATGAGATGATTGTCTCCTCTTATTACTCTCGAAGCTGGAATTCCAGAGCCTGCTGTTATTGATAAATTCTGCCATGGGTACTCTCTTGTGATATAATCAAGTGAAGATTTGGCTACTTCCTTCATAGATCATTTTGAGAGCATTCTCTTCTGAGCTCAATGAATTGCTGTTTTTCAAGTGCAGACTTCTATGGCATTTGTTGTGTGGCTTTTATATGAGATAGGGTCTGTAACTATTAGGATTGTATTCATCCTTCTTGGCTTATTTGCATTCTTTTGGAAGCTCAATGTCGGGGTTCCTTGATTTTACCCTGATAATGATCAATTATTAAGAGTTTCCGGTGTTGGTAGTTGTTGGTCAATGTAGAGGGCAAATTGACATGTGACCTTGCTTAGATTTATTCGACTGTGTCTGTGTTGTCCCTTTGTGGTAGGATGTATTTAGCTTCACTTTTGTTGGCTTTATGTTTAATGTCTTTGTGCATATAGTCTCATCAATGGATCATTTTTTCATTCAGTCTGGTTATTCTCTTCGGACTTTTATGGGGCATTCTGCTACTGTTATGTCTCTGGACTTCCACCCAAATAAAGATGATCTTTTCTGCTCTTGCGATGGGGATGGTGAGATAAGATACTGGAGCATTAATAATGGCAGCTGTTCGAGGGTATTCAGGGTACAAATCAATATGAATCATCGTACTAATCATGTTGTTCCTTGTGGGTTTTAGTGAGATGGTGCATCAAGTGGTTCTCTAAAAACGTTTAACTTATGTTGGTTGTGAATCAGGGTGGCACAGCCCAGTTGAGATTCCAACCACGTCTTGGAAAGTATCTTGCTGCAGCTACAGACAATTTCGTATCTATATTTGATGTAGAGACACAAGCAGGCAGGCAAACCTTGCAGGTTGAATTTTAGTAACTTTTTCCTTTTTATTCATTCTAGTCAAATAGGGATTGTTACTGGCAGAAAAAAGGGAATATTGTTGCTGAGTGAATGATTGTCTAGTAGCTATAATTTAATGATGTTGCGGTTCCTCTTGGATCTGCAACTACCTTTTCCAAATTTTATGCCATTGTATTGAAAGCCTGCCACTGATGGCTGTAGTTCATGCTCTGTTATTGTTTTGAAATTTTAAATGACTGTTTTATTTCTCTGAGCATTAGAATAGAAGCTATTATTTCATCTCTGCCAAAATTTTACAGTGGCGATGGTAGATATTTCAGTTTATATGCTAGGGTCTATTGGTGACCCTATTGGCTTGCTGAATATGTGTGAGTCGACTTGCCTTAAATAAGTAAGTATTTTCCCAGGTCTAGGTTAGAGGTTCGATCCGGATGAGAAATAACAGTAGGTAAAAAGTTTGTCGTCTTTTTATCTGCAGTATCTAAGTATATGACGTTCAAGTATGTGTCACCATTTACGTATGCTATTTTAACGAGACAATTAGTTTCTAGGTGTATGCCATCTTTCAGAGAATTAGGTTTTGCACATATCTTATCCTTATTGAAATTGTTAGTCATTCATTTACAGGCCTTTTCATTCAAGTTGCCCTTTCTAGTCTTTAGATAGTCACAATTGTTACCTTTTTCTCTTTGTTTCCGGCTTCTCGTAATATGTTGATAGTTCCTGCATGAATCTGAATTTTGATGACAGGGGCATACTAAGTCAATCAATTCTGTGTGTTGGGATTCTACTGGCGAGTTACTTGCATCTGTTAGTGAAGACTCTGTGAGAGTTTGGGCAGTTGGGTCAGGTAGTGAATGGGACTGTGTACATGAATTGAGCTACAATGGAAACAAGGTCCACTCCTGCGTGTTCCACCCAACTTATCCTTCACTTTTGGTGATTGGCTGCTACCAGGTAAGTGACACGTTTGAAGTATTTATTTTAGCATTTTCGTGTGCATTATAGCTCCGTGCATGGGAGAAGTAAGATATAAGTCCATGGTTAGATGTTCCCAGATCTTGTGAATTCTTAGGATTATATAAGAAATTTCTAGCTAGCTTCTTGGGATGCTAATCAGGCTCAGGAGTTTTTAATATATTAAGTGATTGTCTAGTACAAATCAGGCATCTTTCTCACTATCCTTCGAAATAGTGAAGGCCGGTTAATTGGTAATTTCAGAATCATGGCTTCTGAAGCTGGCTCTACAAGAGCCCTGGAACAGCAAAAGCTACGTGCCTTAAACGAGTCACGAGAATAGACTTTAGACTTCTATTGCCCCATAAGATCTTGGTTTAATTGTGCTTTGGTCTAAGCTAATTGAAAATTCTGTGCAGACCCTGGAGCTTTGGAATATGGCCGAGAATAAGACAATGTCTTTGCCAGCTCATGATGGACTAATTGCTGCATTGGCAGTGTCAAATGTGACAGGCATGGTTGCTTCAGCTAGTCACGACAAGACAGTGAAGCTGTGGAAGTGATACTTTGGTATCTCCAGGTATTTGTCCTACGCACTCGGATTGGAAGACTGAATTTGCCGTTCCCATTATAGTGCATGTATTTTGTCCCTGTATCAGTTGCCTCAGTACGCCCAGTTGGTGTCGTCTCACTGATACTGATTTAGAGCTTATCATGAGCGATGGGATTTAACTTTTGTGACATTTGTTGCTGTTGTACATCGGGTGATGACTTCTTTTGTCAAGTTGAAGCTTTCTGCGAATGCTTCAGTGCCCTTAGATAAGGAAATGTTCTTGGATAGGCTACATCGATAATTGCCGTCTTTTCTCCTTTGGTATTCATGCCATGTCTTTTTTCTTTGAACTTCGATGTCATATACTTTTTTAGTTGGATTGGAATTCTCATTGTCGGTTTCATTCTCAGCGACTTAATGGGCCAAAAGAAACAGATTTCGATGAATTCTCACGTTTCTAGGTGTTGAGAGTTTGAGATGGAATGTAATATGTTTTGGTGAGATCCGTAGGAAACAAGTGGATCTACCAACTCTAAGAATGGGTGAAGGGAAGGAAAAAGGTTATGGGGACTACTAAAAATGTATTCCCCTGCTGTAGTCTTATTCAGATATTACCTTTCTTGTATCGATGAATAACTGCACCTGGATAATATGAAATCTGTGCTTAAGAGATAGTTACTCTCTCTGGTGATTCCATCTGTTGGGTGATTAAATGGTGGCTTTCATATGAGAGTTATAGCCTTTGAAACGAATCAAGATTTACTGTGCGAAAAATATGATGGACTTGTTGAAGTCGTCATTTCTTCGTGTGAATGCTGCATCGGTGAACAATTTGAGCGGCCAACTTTTTTCTTGTAATAACCGTGTGAATGCATATGTAGAAATCAAGGCATTCTACTAAATCACTATTGTAACATGTTTAGTATGATGCAACTAATGCACGGTCGGCATGCCTTGCATTCAAAGATATATAATGGTACCGTATATTGTATTGCTGTCGAGCGAAAAAGCTAGAAGCAGCTGTAAAAGTAACTTGCTTTCAGCGATGTGATGTTCGTCTGATATGCTTGGCTTATGGTGATGATAAATTCTCCAGTTAGTTTTATGCCCTCCACTTTGTAGGTTGGTTTGGCGGCAGAACGCAGAAACAACATAGGGACTAACATGCGAACCTGGGCTTTCTCTCTCTCTCTCTCTCTCTCTCTCTCTCTCTCTCCCTCTCTCTGCCGGCACGCTCTTGTCTGCCTTTGGTTTGGTCGGAACTGTTTATTTTTGGTGGCTTGTCTGAGAAGGCTCCGAACCAGAACAATGAAAATGGAAGGTCTGGGGTGGCAGGATATAGAAAAATTTCAATCCTGGATAATCTTGGTACCGGTCAGGCGAGAGATTATGACTCGCCCGCCCTTGCATCGCCTTCAGTCATATCATTTTATGCTAAAGATACTTTGCCGCATTACGGATCTCATCTTAGTTCCGTTCTCCCTCCCGCCCGGTGAAGTGCATAATTCCGTTAACCTGCCGTGCCACCCGAGGGTTCTCCTGTCTTTGCTTAGTGTTCGTACCAAGCAGGTTTTATGCATGTGGTGGGGCTAAATACAGAGTCCCATCATACATAATGAGCCGCGACTGGCGATTGACCGTAGAAATTCCTACATCATAAGAGAGTTCTGGTCCGATAATGTCAAGTTGATCTGCTGCATTCCTCTCTTGTGAAAGAGCATATGTATGAGATGGGCAAGAAAAGGTTCAAGTTCTTTCAAATAAATTTAATTAAGAGTACACGAAATACAACAGATGACAAGTTTTATCTATCTAAATGTTAGAAACAAGATTTGGATTAATATTTGTACTAGTATTTATAGATAAATTAGTATCGTTCTTAGGTATTGTAATGAAAATACTTAGATAATCCGATACAATTTGAAATGAGGCTCCACTTTTATTATTTTAGAGATCATAAGTTAAAATATGCTTAACTAGAAGTGTGATGATATTATAGAGACCGAAAATGTAAAAAAGTAACAAAAAGAGCATCTTGTTTTTTGTTGATTTAGGAAGTGAATTAAAATGAAAAGAAAGTCTAAAATATAGGCAATAGTGTAATTTTGAAAATTTGTGAATAGCACCAAAGAATTGATTTGATTTTATTATGGAAAGTTGATGACTGGATTCAACAAATTGAGAGTTTGAGGACTAGATTGCACATTTGGCAATAATATAAGGATTAGATTGCACATTTCACAACAGTTTAGGGATTTGTGGCTACTTTCTTCATTGTTTGATCGAACATAAGGATTACATAGGATATTTAGGAATTATGTAAGGGTCACATCGAATGAATTAAAAGCCTAAGGATGATATTACACATTGAGGTAAAATTTATTAGTATCATTTTCCTTTCGTTGTAGTTTATGCTTAGGTTCTTGTTCCTTGTGTGTTTGCATGCTTTGCCGGATAGTTCAAAACGAACTCTCCTGTGGATGTTTTGTTTGACTAAATGTCAATGTTATCTCGAGACGGATCAATTTCCTTTACCAGCGATTTCAATGATCAAGACTTAGACACTCTTTATCACATGGAGTTAATTTGCTTCCTGCTGCTAGAGGAGAAGATCAGAGTGTAAGAATGATGAGAAACAATTGAATGTAACATAAACTTACGGTATTCGTTCAAGCTTGATGATTTCTCATGTGGTGATGATCTCCCTCTCAAATGAAGAAACACAAATCAATTAAACATGCTAAAGTGTACATCTCTCCATGTTAATGAACTGCTATACTAGTTTCTCTCCTTCTCTTCATGTTAATAATTTTGGAAAGGACAATTTCCAATATTAGGTAAGGGCAAGTGATGATTTTGCATATTCTTAAGAACGGAATGAAGACTTATGTTGAATGGGCTTATTCCATTGTCCCTGCAATTTCTGGCGGTGAATTAAAGTTGTCAATCTCACTTATAAGGAATAAACAATGTGATAATTTTTGGTATCTGTAAGGATCATTTATAAATTCAAGTTGGTAATGGATATAGAATCAATCTCGATTGAGCTTCAATAGAGTATGAACCATTTGATTTTTTTTTTATCTTAACTCACGTTTATCAACGAAGTTTGTAGAGATTTAATTTGGTCGATTAATCTTCTAGAATAAATATTATAAAAAAAACAAGGAATCCTTTTTTACTTTAAAGCTTAAAAGTTTTTTAACTGAAAAAATAAAAATTATTTGGGCAGAGTTGTTATATAAATCGAGAAAATTAGTAAGAAAAGAAAAGTACTATTTCCCAATTTTAGCCCTGTTTTTTAGGCTCGCAAGACTCTCTAAATAATAAAGGGAAGATCTAACGGCAAAAAGATGGCTACAACTCTGGAGATGGCCGGGCCACCGTCCGATTCCTCAAGCGAGGCCCATCATCGATCTTCTCGAATCGATCGATCTTGGCCGGGCACGAGGTCCACATCCATCGGACTCCGTCTCGCTCATTGCCGAACTATCCCGGTGCATTCGCGCCCTTGATCCCGAACTCAGCCTCCCCCTCACCAATTTTGGCTTTAAGTTATTTTGTCATTCTTAATTTTACTTAATATCAGTGTCTATCTTGCATAAGATCAAGAAAAGATGTGCGTGATAAGGGCGAGCAACATATCCGATTCAACTCGGGAGCTAGACCGAACTGGCATGAAACCACCGGTTCAAGGATTGAACCAGCCTAGGACCGGTTGAATTACCGATTCCAAGGTTGGAACCGCCGGTTCTACTATGGAACCGATTCAACCGGTTCGGTTTCTAGATGGAATCAATTCTAAATCAGTTTTGAAGTATCTTTTAGAAGAAAAATGTACTAGGAGCGCATTAAGAATTGAATCGATAACCACTTGATCAACAAATGCTTTTTGTGGGAATCGGCGGTTCAATCTGATTGGAACGGACACGCACGCATCTGTCTGAAAATCTCTGAAGTGCGGCAAGCGCATCTTTGTCATCGTGTGCTAATGCGTGAGAACATAAAGATGAGCTGATAACAGTGACGGTGGAGAAATTTTCCCATCGCAGAACAAGAGGCTCTTTTTTTTGTCTCATCCTCACATGGCGTGAAGAAAGATCCAAGCCCCAACATGATACCAAGCCGTCAATGATGTTTGGCGCTGATGGTACTGGTGGAAGTCTTCCATCGCCTTCGTATAAGTCGGTCAGCCAGATTTAGACTTTTGCCTTTTGATTGGCGATGGTCTTCTAGAATGAATTCGGTTGTTGTGTTGCTCCGTATTGATCTGGACCTTCGCTTGCAGGCAGAAATGGATCGACTTGTATCTCGTGATGAGACAGATCGTCGACATACTGTTGGTCGCTGCATGGATGTCAGCGAAGGTGCCTGAGAACTCTCCCCGTTGATGAGGAATTTTGGTGACATGCCCATCTTAGTAACTGTTGTTTTCTGCTCCAAATTTGCATCTGTTGTGTGTATGGCAGTGAAAGAAATCTGTTAGCCTCCTATTTCTTGGAGGCTTCAATGAGCTCAGAGTTTAGCTGGTAGTAACAGAAGAGAACCATGCAGAACCAACTACGTAAGAGTTTCAGAAGGACTTACCTTTGACCGACAAACAGAGAAACATAAGTAGCATAAGCAGAAAAAAGGACCAAACTCAGTAAACTAATTTACAACGAAGAAAAAAGACTTTCACGACAAGCCTTTGACTAATGAACGGACAAGATAATTTGTAATCTCTCTCTATCGCTTTCTATCTGTCTGGAAAGAAGGAAAAGAACCCAATGTCACCAGTTGTCACATGATGATAACTAGCCCGCCTTTGAAGTCGAGTATAACTTTCCTCGAGGTGATTTGTCAGTAACCATAAAATCGTGACGAATATCTTTAGATAATTAATGGAAGAACTTTACCTTAAGATGTTCTTCTTTGTTGTTAATTTAGATGCCATTCTCAGGTCCTACTAATTGAGGTTTGATTCAGAATCATTTCCCTAGTAGGCTGAATGATGAAGTGTCTTCCGCAGTTTCACTCGTAGTGTTCAAATTTGGTGCTACAGAATTCTCATTTACTGAAGTGAGTACTATTCGAGCAAGCACCGGCAAGGTTGTCTGTTGCCACTTCTCATCAGACGGGAAACTGCTTGCTACTGGTGGACATGATAAGAAAGTAAGTACGGGCAGTTATATGTAGACATGATGATATGCTGTCTTCTGCCATAGTCTGATGTGGGATGGTTCAATTTCTGGATTATGCAGGCTGTACTGTGGCATGCAGATACTTTAAAGACAAAAACAACTCTGGAAGAACATTCTTCTTTGATCACAGATGTTCGATTTAGTCCAACCATGCCACGCCTGGCAACATCTTCTTTTGACAAGACTGTCAGAGTCTGGGATGCTGACAATGTTGGTGAACATAATATCTCATTGACACTGGTGTTTTTTTAGATTTTTCAATTCCTTTTGTCTTTGAAGCTTCTTGCAACAGCCTTCTGATATACTGAACTACACGAGGTGCCTGTCTGACTATATGTACTGATGACATTTCAAAACTTTTGCCACTATGATATAAGTGCTTCTGTTACAAGTTTGTTGTTTCTGGAATGAACAATCTGATGAAAGCTTTTTTTTCACATACCCTGGAAAGTTACTTAGAACATGATCTACACTTGTCGCTCCAAGCAAGCAGATGTATTAGCATGAGTTAATTGACAGGACTTTGAATGTATAGTTAGTGCATGATGGCAAAGGGTGAAGAAGTTGGTAGTCTGTCCCTTAGAGATGACCACAGAAGATTTTGGTTGTTTACAGGAATGGAGCAGGACTTTTAATTAAAGCTGGTCACCTTTTATTATTTAGATATTCACATATCCCCGTCTTTAGCTTGTTGCCACTTGCAACATCAATAAGAAATGACTCTGTGGTCGATTTTAGGCTTGTAGCCTAATTGGGGTTGCCATTGTTCTAAAATCTGAACATTAAAATTTTGGGAACATATATATATTGAGTTGATATTAGGAATTATTGCCTAAGTGTCCATGTGAATGGTTATGCAATCTGACTCTTGTTTAAAACCTAGAGAGTTGCTTTAATACATCAAATTCTCTATATTTCCACACTTTTTTGCATGAGATGATCATCTCCTCTTGTTACCCTTGAAGCTGGCATTCCAGAGCCTGCTGGTATTGATAAATTCTGCCATGGGTATCCTCTTGTGATAATGATCAAGTGAAGTTTTGGCTACTTCCTTCATAGATCATTTTGAGAGCATCCTGTCAGAGCTCAATGAATTGCCGTTTTCCCAGTGAAGACTTCTATTGCAGTTGTTGTGTGGCCTTTACATGAGATAGTGTCTGTAACTATTAGGATTGTATTTATCCTTCTTGGCTTTTATGCATTCTTTTGGAAGCTCAATGTCGAGGTTCCTTGATTTTACCCTGATAATGATCATGTTTTAAGAGTTTCCTGCGTTGGTAGTTGTTGGTCAATGTAGAGGGCAAACATACATGTGACCTTGCTTAGATTTAAATGACCGTCTTTTTTTTCCCCATTGTGGTAGGATGTATTTAGCTTCACTTTTGTTGGCTCTATGTTAAATGTCTTTGTGCATATGGTATATCAATGGATCATTTGTGCCTTTCAGCCTGGTTATCCTCTTCGGACTTTTATGGGGCATTCTTCTACTGTTATGTCTCTGGACTTCCACCCAGATAGAGATGATCTTATCTGCTCTTGCGATTGGGATGGTGAGATAAGATACTGGAGCTTTTATAATGGCAGTTGTTCGAGGGTATTCAGGGTACAAATCAATCTAAATTATCATACTAATCGTGTTGTCCCTTGCGGGTTTTAGTGAGATGGTGCATCAAGTACATCTCGGTTCTGTAAAATCGTATAACTTATGTTGCTCGTGAATCAGGGTGGCCTAGCCCACACGAGATTCCAACCGCATCTTGGAAGGTATCTTGCTGCAGCTGCAGATGATGCCGTAAATATATTTGATGTAGACACACAAGCGTGCAGGCAAACCTTGCAGGTTGAAGTTTTAGTAACTTTTTCCTTTTTATTCGGTCTAGTCAAATGGGGATTGTTAACGGTTGAATTTTACGCCATTGCATTGTATGCTTGCTACTGATGGCTGTAGTTCATGCTCTGTTATTGTATTGAAATTTTAAACGACAATATGTTTTCTTTCTCTGAGCATTAGAAGAAAAGCTATTATTTCGTCTCAGCCAAAATTTTATAGTGGTGAAGGGAGATATTTCATTTATTATGCTAGGGTCTTTTGGTGACCCTATTGGCTTGCTCAATATGTATGAGTCAACTGGCCTTAATAAAGTCATTTTCCCAGGTCTAGGTTTGAGGCTCGATCCAGATGAGAAATAATAGTAGGTGAAAAGTTTGTCATCTAAACTTGTCATCTTTTTATCTGCTGTTTTTAAGTATATGACGTTCAAGTATGTGTCACCATTTACGGATGCTATTTTAATGACACAATTAGTTTCTAGGTGTGTGTCAACTTTCAGAGAATTTTATGATTTGCATCTGTCTTATCCTTATTGAAATTGTTACTCTTTCAATTGCAGGGCCTTTTAATTTAAGTGGGTCTTTCTACTCTTTGAGATAGTCACAGTTGTTACTTTTTTTATTTTTGTTTCCTTCTTCTCGTAACATGTTGATAGTTCCTGCATGAATCTGAATTTTGGAAGCAGGGGCATAGTAAGTCAATCGATTCTGTGTGTTGGGATTCTACTGGCGAGTTACTTGCGTCTGTCAGTGAGAACTCTGTGAGAGTTTGGGCAGTTGGGTCGGGTAGTGAATGGGACTGTGTACGCGAATTGAGCTGCAATGGAAACAAGTTCCACTCCTGTGTGTTCCACCCAACTTATCCTTCAATTTTGGTGATTGGATGCTACCAAGTAAGTGACACGTTTGAAGTATTTATATTAGCATTTTCATGTGCATTATATCTCCGTATATAGGAGAAGTAAGATGTAAGTCCATGGTTTGATGTTCCCAAATCTTATGAATTCTTAGGATTATATAAGAAATTTCTACCGAGCTTCTTGGGATTCTAATTAGGCTTATGAGTTTCTAAAATGTCAAGTGATTGTGTTGTACAAATTAGGCATCTTTCTCACTATCCTTCGAAGTAGTGAAGGCCGGTTAATTGGCAATTTCAGAATCATGGCTTCTGAAGCTGGCTCTACAAGAGCCACGGAACAGCAAAAGCTATTTGCCTTAACTAAAGTACAAGTCACGTGAATAGACTCTTTAGACTTCTATTGCCCCATAAGATCTTGGTTTCACTGTGCTTTGGTTTAAGCTAATTGAAAATTCTCTGCAGACCCTGGAGCTTTGGAATATGGCCGAGAATAAGACAATGTCTTTGCCGGCTCATGATGGACTAATTGCTGCATTAGCAGTGTCAAATGTGACAGGCCTGGTTGCTTCAGCTAGTCACGACAAGACAGTGAAGCTGTGGAAGAGTTACTTTGGCATCTCCAGGTATTTGTCCTCTGCGCTCAGTTTGGAAGACTGAATTTGCTGTTCCCATCAAAGTTCTTGTATTTTGTCCTTGTATCAGTTACCTCAGTATGCCCAGTTGGTGTCGTCTCACTGATAAAAATATAAAGCTTCTCACGAGCGATGGGATTTAACTTTGTGACATTCGTTGTTGTTGTACATCGGGGGATGACTTCTTCTGTCAAGCTGAAGCTTTCTGCGAATGCTTCAGTGACCTGTAATGTTTGGCCTTCCGTAGAGAAGGAAATGTTCTTGGATAGGACTCTACATCGATAATTGCCGACTTCTCTCCTTTGGTATTCATGCCATGTCTTTCTTACTTGAACTTCGATGTCATATACTTTTTTGGTTGGATTGGAATTCTCATTGTCGGTTTCGTTCTCATCAACTGAAAGGGCCAAAAGAAACAGATTTCCAGGAACCCTCGCGTTTCTAGGTGTTTAAGAGCTTGAGATGGATTGAACTATGTTTCGGTTCCATCCCTCGGAAACAAGTGGATCTACCAACTCTAAGAATGGGTGAAGGGAAGGAAAAAGGTTAATGGGACTTCTAAGAAAGTATTCTCCTGCTGTAATCTTTTTTTTATTTTTTTGTCTATCCTATCTCTAATTCTTACCACTCTCTAAATTTTACTTTGCCTCTTATAGAGGACGGGAGTCAAACCCCGCACCTGTGATACTAGCGTCCCTGCCCCCCAAACCCTTTTACCATCAGGGCCGCATGCCTATTGGCCCCTGCTGTAGTCTTTATTGAGGTATTACCTTTCTTGTGTCGAGGAATAACTGCACACGGATAATACGAAATCTCAGCCTAAGAGATAGTTACTCTCTCTGGTGATTCCATCCATTGGGTGATTAAATGGAGTCTTTCATATAAGAGTTACTGTGTGAAAATTATAGTGGACATGTTGAAGTCGTCATTTCTTTGTGAATGATGCATTCGTGAATAATTTGGGGGGCAAACTCTTTTCTTGTAATAACTGTGTGTTTGCATATGTTGCAATCAAGGCGTTCTACTAAATCACTACTGTTACATGTTTTGTATGATGCGACGAAGGCACCGTCGGCACACCTCGTATTCAAAGATATAATAGTGGTACCATATATTGTATTGCTGTCGAGTGAGAAAGCTAGAAGCAGCTGTAAAAGCAACTTGTTTTCAGCGGAATCGAGGAGGGAATTGGATCTGCAAGTATGGGATGCTCGTCTGAAATGCTTGGCTCATGGTGATATCAAATTCTCCGGTCAGTTTTGTTTTATGCCCTCCACTTTGTAGGTTGGTTTGGCGGCAGAACACACAAACAACATCGGGACTAACATGCGAACCCAGGCTCTCTCTCCCTCTCTGCCGGCGCGCTCTCGCCTGCCTTTGTGACTTGTTTGAGAAGGCCCGCAACCAGAACAATGAAAATGGAAGGTCTGGGGTGGTAGGATATAGAGAACTTTCAATCCTGGATCAACTTGGTACTGGTCGGGCGAGAGATCATGACTCGCCCGCCCTTGCATCGCCTTCCATCATATCATTTTAAGCTAAAAATCCTTTGCCGCATCACGGATCTCATCGTAGTTCCGTTCTCCCTCCCGCCCGGTGAAGTGCATAATGCTGTTCACCCGCCGTGCCGCGCGAAGGTTCTCCTGTCTTTGCTCATTGATCCTACCAAGCAGGTTTTATGCATGTGGTGGGGCTAAATACAGAATCCCATCATACAAAACGAGCTACGGCTGGCGATTGACCGTAGAAATTCCTGCATCATGAGATAGTTCTGGTCCGATAATGTCAAGTTGATCTGTTGCATTCCTCTCTTGTGAAAGAGCATATGTATTGTGTTGGGCAATGAAGGGTTTGGGCTTTTTTCCTGGACTAAATTTAAATAACGAGAAGTACATAGGCTGAGAAATTTTATCTATCTAAAAGATTGGAAACAAGATTAGATTGAAAAATGTATTAGCATCTATTGATAAATTAATATCGTGTTTAGAATCTAGATATCTCGATAAAAATAAATAGACAACTCGATATAACACTAAATGAGGTTTTGATTTTTCTATCGTAAAGATCATAAGTTAAAATATGCTTTAAGTAGAACTACCGTAATATTTGTAAAGATCAACAAGATAAAAAGATAATAAAAAGATGGCATTCTTTTTATTTAAGAAATGAATTGAAATAAAAAGGTATTCTAAAATCTAGGCAATAGTGTAATTTTGAAAATTTGTGATTAATATTGAAGAATTGATTTAACTTTGTTATGGATTGTTGAGAGATTTGATTCATCAAATCGAGGGATTTGTTATGCACATTTCGCAATAGTTTAGGGACTTGTGGTGACTTTCTTCCTTGTTTGATTAACAAAAGGACCATGCTTGAACATTTAGGAACAGTTCAAAGGTCGCATCAAACGAATCAAAAGCCCAAGGATGACATTGTGCATCAGACCGAAATTCAGGAACTATTAGCATCATTTAGCATCATTTTCCTTTCGTTGTATAGTGTTCTTAGGTTCCTATTCCGTGTGGGTTTGCCGAATTTGCCAGATAGTTCGAAGCGACCTCTCGGGCGGATGTCTTGTCCAACTAGATGTCACGGTTATCTCTTGAGACGGATCAATTTCCTTTACCAACGACTTCGATGATCGTGACCTAGACACTCTCTATCACATGGAGTTAATTTGCTTCCTGCTGCTTGAGGAGAAGATCATAATGTCAGAATGATGAGAAACAATTGAATGTAACTCAAACTTAGGGCCTTCATTCACGCTTGATGGTTCCTCGTATGATGATGATCTCCCTCTCAAATGAAGAAACACAAATCAATCAAACATGCTAAAGTGTGCATCTCTCCATGTTAATGAACTACTATACTAGTTTCTCTCTCTCTCTTAATGTGAATGTGTCTTGGGCAAGTGATGATTTTGCATATTATTAAGAACATAATGAAGATTTATATTCAGTGGGCTTATCCCATTGTCCCTGCAATTTTTCATACCGAATTAAAGCTGTCAATCTCACTTATACGGAATAAATAATGAGATTATTTGCGGTCTATCTAGGGCTCATCTATAAATTGAGGTTACCATAGATACGGAATTGATCTTGATTGAGCTTCGGTCAAGCACGGATCATTTGATTTTTAGTTTAACCCGAGTTTATCTAAGAAATTTGTAGAGATTCAATTTGGTCGATTAATCTCCGGAAACAGATACCGTAAAAAAAAAAATCAAGGAATCCATTTTCACTTAAAAGCTTAAAACTTTATAAACTCAAAAAATAAAAATTATTTTGCACTGAGTTATTATATAGGTCGAGAAAATTAGTAGGAAAAGAAAATACACTATCACCCAATTTTAGCCCTGTTATTCAGGCTCGCGAATCCGCTCTATAATAGTAAAGAGAAGATCTAACGGCGAAAAGGCGGCTCCGACTCTGGAGATGGCCGAGCCACCGTCCGATTCCTCGAGTCAGCCGAAGCCCGTCATCGATCTCCTCGAATCGATCGATCTTGGCCGGACACGACGGCCCCGCCCGCCGGACGCCGCCGCGCTCGCCGCCGGGCTGTCCCGGTGCATCCGCGCCGTCGATCCCGAGCTCAGCCTCCCTCCGCCTGAGACTCTAACTCAAGATAACATCAGGCAATCTCTCTCTCTCTCTCTCTCTCTCTCTCTCTCTCTCTCTCTCTACTGTGCGCAGCGCGCGCGCGCGAGATGGGGAGCGCATTTGTATTGCTTCTTGTATTGACAATTTGGGTTACAGCTCCTCTGTCGACAGTAGTTGTCCTAAGATGAGACATTTAGGGGGGAGATGAAAGAAAGGACGTTCCTTTGTTTCGATCCGTTCGTTCGTTTTAGTGGGTTGATCGTTGATAGCAGTGGCACCGCATGGGGTGTGGTGAGCCCTCTTGAGTTTCACGTCATAGCACTGCTCAAGATGAAGTTTGCACACCTGTGTTCTGAGGTTGTTGATTGTTAGAGAGCGTGCATTCCTTTTGGTTAATATGAGTTCTGAGGGGAACTTGGGTCTTGACCAATTTGGCCTAAATCCTGTGTTTCTTGCTCAAGTAAATTATTTGCTTTTCAGGGCGTCACGTCGATTTAGTTTATATTGCCCTACTTTTGCAATCATATCACAAGGTAATTGGGTATTCGGATCGAACTTCTTTCGTTGCGTTTGTGGCGTTTGTGTTGGTATTCAGGGAAGCAAGTCACGGTGTTGAAGAAGCTTTAAAATTGATAAACTGCCCGCACCCTCTGCAAGCTTCGGACATTTACAACCTCGAGGTCCGAAATGTGTATCCTGTTGCACAGTGGCTGGTCAATCATGTTCGGATGCGCAATGGAGTTATGGGGGATGAGGTAAGTTTCGCTAATTGGTATGGCGCCATGCTTCTGAACTAGTTTTATGTCTTTACGTGCTAATGTAGCTTCTTTTCTGTCGTAAAATGAATCTCTCTTGCTAGTAGGATCATGCCATCTTTGCTCTAGAGACACACATAATACTCACACAGGACTTTTCACTAAAGATTGGGAAAATACTCTTTGGCAGCTTGATGGTGGATTAGGTGTTCCAAGAACTACTTTTGAGTCTAGATACAACGATTGAGAGGAAAAGTTTAGTGAGATGCTATAATGGTTGGAGCTAATTAATTCGGATTCATGCAAGAGATTAACACTTATTTAGGAGTACTTTCTGCAACAGGCAGAAGCTCTTTTCTCTGTTTCCTGTGGTAGCTAGATCCATCTGGTGGTAACTTTAGTTTTCTTCTTCTCCTGGCCAGAAGCCGATGAGAATGCATATTTTAGAAGAGATGCAACTCTTACATGAGAAAATCAGGGCAGCAAGAGTTGATTCTGTGGTTCACAGATTAATGTTGCTGATGGAGTCACTGAAGGTGGATATTCTCCCTCTACTATGTAGACATGTTTCTAAACCTTTTTTTTAAGCTAATACTTTTGTTCCTGGACCAACTGTTAATCTAGTCTCAAATCAATGTCCTTTTTCATTTTCTGGGGTTTGGCCAGGATGTTGATGTCCTACCATATTCTCTCATCATCTGTCACGTGTAGATCCTTATTTTTTCCTTTTTTCCCCCAATAACTTTGAGCTTTTTGCTCCTGCTTTTGCATTATGTAATGGGAATGGCTACAGGTCTTGGAAAAGAAAGAATTGGATCTCCAATCTGACTACACTGCAAAGAAATCAGATTTGGAAGCCAAGATTATTCACTTGGAGGAGAAAATATCCAACGACTGTGATAGCAAGAGTCTCCATGATGATCTAGATCATTGTATTAGCATGTCATTGGAAAAGTTGCACCTTGCAAAGAAGGTATTGGGTCTTATTACTCTCCTCGAGGACTTATGTCATCTGATTGTATATATTTGTCCACTGCCAGAATATCACCAATCCATAATTTCTTGCATATATCTGATAAACACTTTTGAGTCATGGTAGTTAGTCAGTGATTGAGCATTATAGGGGCTAGTCAACAATAATCATTCATACCGTCCGTGTATGAATTGAAATGTTTTGCATGGTCCAAATCACAAGTTATAGGGATATAAGGATCGTGTTGAGAACAGGTAGTTTTTGCTGGGATTCTGATGTCCTTTTTTTCTATCTCACCCAAAGAGCTGCTATGTTACTTTGTGTTCATCTTCAATTTTTCTGCTTAAGAATTTTAGCTGATGCTTTCTTCTGCCAACCCTTTGTAACTTGTACCGATTATAATGAGCAGAAACATAATAGAAGTTCTCTTTCCTGGGGGCCCTTTCATTAGTTCAATGGATGAGACGAATAGCGTTTGAGATGGATTGCTAATTAGCTAGTGCAATTCGCTGCATATCCTCTCTGCTTGTTGTGAATTTAATTTGGTCTATCTTTGAATTTGACATTGGATGGCTCTAGTCAAATCTCGTCCTGTCATAAGAATTTGGTCAAGATTTCTTCTTTGATTTTATGTTCATGTTGTTATAACAGTGCATGCAAATTTTCTTATAAGACCGCAATCATTTTGATAAAGGAAACCCATGTTGTATCAACTGCATAAAAATTCTTTTGGGATTTCAAATCTGTCATATTTGATTCTGATATCTATCCAGTAAACTGCTGCCATTGATCAAGGTATAGAAGCTCCCTCTCTGCGTAGTAGGGCAATTCAATATCCTTTGGCCTTGGGCCCCAATTTTTGCAGGCAACCTTTGAGTGCTAGATTTCTTCAAATGGATATTATCTTTGTTTTGATTTCTTTGGCAGAACGCGGTAGCAAATGACTTGCTATTGCATGTCTGATTTTTTTTTGGTCCAGTGATATAGCTTAGCTTTCATACCTATTGAGCTTCTTTTGTACATGAAAGTTAGAGGTCCTCCAATTCTCATTTATGGTGCATGATGTATTCTCAATGGTAGGAACTAGCGGCTAGACTGAGGATGGTATTGTCTGTAAAGCGGCAACTTGAAGATGTGCCTTCTCAATCGGAACTCATTCAGTATGTTCTCCCTCTCCCTTGCCCTACTTTTGTCTTTTGGATTTCTCTAGAATCTATGATGAGGTGGTCTGCTTTTATCACCCAGATTTTTCAATTTTAATTTGACTCCTGATTTCATTGTTTTGATTCCATAGACTAGTTTTATCATTTCCTAGTCCTTACTCTGGTGCCAGCGACAGGTATTTTCTTTATTTAGCATTGTAGTCTGTGTCAAAATCATAACATAGGTTATAAATCCATATAATGTGTGCTGGTGCTCCAACACATCTAGCCATTTCTCCTTAGTTGTTCTTTTCCTGTCTAATTGAAGATCCAAAATCTATTTTCATTCTTGTTCTTCTCCTTCTTGGATGTAGTTAGTAATGCTCTGCCATGAAAATATGAATTAAGCTATGGGACCCTGCATTGATGAGATCCAAACTCTAGTTTCAGGCCTTCTCTTCTCCTCTTAAGTATTGCTACTACTTGTTAACTTTAGATAGTTGATCCTGTTCACATGATGATTTGCTTCCTAGTTGACTCTTAAAACAAACTTGCTGTGCAGACCATTATTAACACGTTTTCAGTTTTGAACTAAATCAGAGTGGATCAATCTGGGTCTGGTTTAAGGGAAAACTTTTTCTCCTAGTATGAGAGTAAGTTTTTTAGGGATTGGTAACCAAAGTGCTCTCTTTGCAGGTATGAACGCCGCTTTTCCGAGTTGAATATGAATATTGAGGTGAGGAGTTCATTTTTTGAAGCTTTGCATCTTTGTATCTTGTACATTGTGTGTAAACGATTCTTAGTGCTGACACTGCAATTACAATTCTTTTTGTTTGTTAATTTCCAGGAAATTCATAGACAAACACGTAAATACTACGCAACATATAATGCACTTTTGGACATTAAAGAGCTAATGCTGAAGGAAACATCGTTATTGAATTCGCTAAATTCCCAGGTATAACATTATAGATCAAAGATCTTGAGTAATATTTGTCTGTTCCCCCTCCTCTTCTGAAGTGCTCCCCACGTCCTCTCCTGTAATCATTCTATTTTACCAGATACCTTTTCTTCTTTCTTCAAGTCTCATGAACGTTGCCTCAAACGAGAAGTATCTAGCTGTAGTGAAATTCATTTTGAAAGGGCTCATGGAGCCCCCACAAATTTCTCTTTTAGCGAAGCCCTTTATTAGGTTTAGAAGGAATAGCATCTTGTGCCTTCAAAGTGGTAGTGCTTTTCAACAACAATCATAAACTCCTACTGAAGGAGTTATAATTTGCTGCATTGTTGATCACATTTGGCATCGAAAGATTTAGTGAGATAGAAGCCAACATGTTAAGTCACGACATTTTCTTTGGTAAATGCAATATTTAGTATCTTTTTTACTAAAAGGCTGATGTAGGAAATTTTCCATTTCGCTGTTTTACTACTAGAATTTTTTTAAAGGAAGTTATCACAAACATAAGCCTTTGGTTGGTCATCAATTTTTTAACAGTTTTACCTTCCCTTTAACTATTTTGTTGGTAATTCCATTCAGTTTCAAGATGCTATAAGCGATACTGCTGGTCGCCTGAAACTTATTGATTCCATGGAAGGAATTTTGAAGGGCATAAAACAGGTAAAATTATATACAAACTTTGTGCCTTCTCCTCCTCCGGCTTGGCTTAGAGTTAATTTCACTGCACCAAGCTGTAACGCAAATTATATGGTCCTATGTGCAATTTTTACTAACTATACATCACTGCTGTATGTTCAGCTAAGTGATGATTGAACAATCAGCGTTGTGCTGAACCTTCTATGGTTTTGTGTTTTAAGAATAAAATAGAGATTGCTTTTGCCTTCTTTTAGTTGCATTTTCTCACTCATATTTTCTTGTCACGTCTCTCCAAACATCTGAATATGTCCACTTCTTCTCTGTTTCCTGTATAGGGTTGGATGCCTTATTAGTTAAAAGAACATATTCGGGGATGTCAAACTTGCATAAATTGACGGTTTCTTGGTAGAACTTTTCCCATCTAATTTTTACTGGGAGAAAGACTACTGGTGCTAATATGTTTCTTTTTAGTCTTGGTACTTTGTTCACCAATTGATCTTTTTCCTTATGTTCGGTGTTTGGGTCTCTTAGAGCACCCAGCTAATTGCAATACTTCGTCAATTGACTTACACATCTAGTACCACATTCTCCAGTTTTTGCTTTTACATATTTTCTGATGCCCATTGGGAGAGCTCTACAGGCATGATGAAAATTTTGAAATAATGCTTGATATGTTGGGTGTTGGAAGACTTTCGGGTTGGCTAAGCCTGAGATATGTTAAGTCTTAGATGCTTAAACTATGTGTTGTAAAACTGAGGCCCGTGACAAACTTTCTTAAAAGCATGAAGAAGCTATACGTCAGTTTTCATCTCTTTCTTCTTTTAGCAGTATTTTTTTGTATTAGTCAGCACAGACGGATTGTGTTGTAATGCAGAAGCTAGAGAAAGTGCAAGATGGGATCCAGGCAGATCAGAGAGTCTGTAAAACACTCAGGGAGAAGTATGCAGCCGCAGCAGCTAGGCAAAGACGTGGTTCTAGTCTGTTGAAAGCTCTTCAGGTAACCATTAGCAGCAGAACAGTAACTAACTAAAGTACACTGTTCTTCCTCATTTACGTGCCTTAGAGAAAATTACTCACTTCACATTCTAATATAAAGAAGCCAAATGTGTTCCGTTTTCATATGATAGAGTTGGATCCCGTAATCAATGGTTCTTGTGACAATGCTGTGAAAGGCTATTACTGGCTTTTATTTTTTTTTGAGGTCATTGTCTACAGTGGTGGAAACTACAAATGAACCATCTTTCTACAGAGGGATCCTTCTATACCATGGTGGGATCTCTATGTGAAGTTGACATTATAAAATCACTTATTCCCTTCCTTGTTGTTAATTCACCTCTTTTTAGTGGGACTAAGTAACATTATAGCTCCAAATAAAATAGGAAAAGGGTCTTGGCCTAGTGGTGGTTGAGGATGCTTTGATCTGTATATGGGAAAGAACTTTTAATGTATAGAAAGAGGGATGCAGATCCTCCATTTTCTTGGGAGTCTGTCAACTGAGGAACTAATGTTCAGGGCGCAATCAAGTTATATTACCACTTGTTTTATAATCCTCTATCGACTGGGTAATTGGCATTGACTAATAACAATCTGATCTCTCTTATATCTTACTGCTTATTTAGAGAAACCATAGAAGAAATGGCATTTGTTTGAAAAATTAGTAGTATCTTTCCGGAGGAGCAATGACAAACAACCCAACAGCAATGAGGAAGTTTCATTTCTCGTACGAGTTTTACTTTATAAAGTATTATGACCAATCGATACCAATTCATATTGCATATCTTGTTTATGTTAGTTTTGTTCCGTTCTAGTTTTCTAATCCTTAGCTATACATTAGCTTAGTCTATTACATTGCTTCAAGATCTTGCGATACACTTGAAGCCTAAATTAAGACATCCAATTTCCAGGAGGAAATCACGAGAAACCAGAGACTTAAAAATGAACTTCAGTCCAGAAATGCAGCTACACTATGTGAAGTTGAGGTGATAGGAAGTTTGTGAAGTTGTGGAACTAATATGAGGGTGCACCTTCGGTAAAGATGATTCACGTGACCTGTGTACCACATGCCTGCGTAGGAAACTAGTCTCTATGCAATGCAGGATTGAGGCTACATGCATCTGGTCATCCTGAAAATCCTCAATGTGGGGGCATCATGGATCGAGTGTCCCAGTTAGCATGTTCAGGTAAATGATTGCAGAGTATATGGAGCGACATATTCTTTAGTTACTCTTGATGTTCCCTCAAGGCCTTAAATTGTTGTTTATGGTTTTCAAAGCCAACACAAAAGTCAATAATCAGGTTCTGAATGATGTAAAATCATCTAAATACAACCTTTCTTACCTTTGATAATAATAATATGATTACTTTTGGACATTTTTCTTTGCTTTGCCAAATCTTTATGTAATAATTCATCCAAGTTGATTAGCTTTGGATCATCATTTTCCTAATCATCCCTATTTTAAAGAAAAACTTAAAATATGTAAAGCTCTCTTGTTCAACTATTGGTCAACATGAATCTTCCGGGTCTTGCCAATAGTCATCTTTTACTCCTAACCGAGCTAAATGATGAGAATATCTTCACTTGTGACTTCTTTTAGTTTATGGGTTTTAAATCTTTGTGGATATGCACTAATCTGATATTATATGATTGAAAAGGGTGCTAGCTAGTAGTTGAAATTCTCATGTCAAGATGGGGTGATTTGTCCAATTCTGAAAAGAAATATCTTATTGCAAAAGGGTTAAAGAGATTGTTGTGCACTTGTCTTTGTACTAGAATATTTTAAGCCTCTTACATCTGTTACCTTTTGGCATCAGGACAAAAGGGGCAACACAAACGACACTAAGCCTGACATCCCATCATATTCATGTGTTTTCTTCTGTAGACACTTGTGAATTGTGTTAGGGGACTTGGAAGTGCCATGTTGTGCACCCAACAAGACAAATGAAATAAGAGAGCTTTTCTCTGCATTGTTAATTTACTTCTTTTGGCTGCATGCTCTTTACTTAATTCAGCTAAGAAGAGCCGCAATCCATGCCAAGATTGGTTCTCGTATTGCGTATCATACTTTGAAATGGTCCTTGATTGAAGGAACAAAGTGTTTTGTCCCATCATGCACCAATCAAGACATTATAACTTCATGATCCACTGTGCTCAACATTAATGGAGGAGGTAGTAGAGACAATGAAATCATCCATATCTGAGTATGCCAATCATGGATGAAAGGATTGCACCTTCTCTGGATGCTGCTTTTTGATGCTCTTGAAACTCTTTCTACAAAGGACAAATTTTGGGTGGGCCACAGAATTAGGCAAGAAGAAATATCTATAGCATTTGCCTCTGTCTCAGGGCGGACGGATGGGCAACTGGAATCCTTTTGATCACATTTCATTGTTTTTTAAGGTCTCCTTAGTTGTCAATAAGTTAAAACTTTGGAAATCCTCAGAAAAGGACAAAATGCATCCCCTCTCCCCCACCACCATGACATAAATCAGATTATAATAAAATAAAAGGCATGGAGAAGGGGACACAGAGCCACAGACACTTCCAAACTCCCCAGAAAAGGACAAGAAAGAGGAGGGTACAAAGAAGAGCTAACCCTCTCTGATCTTGGAAGGTGGGTTAGTAAACAAGAACAATGCTAAGAAAAAATAACGAGAAGAGTTAGTCATCTTTACTTAACAACAGTTTATCACATCACTCGGTACACCGATTCACGAATCTGTGTTCGTATGCTCGGCTGCACTCTTGTTCCTAATGGTTTTTCTGATCAAGAAAGAGTGATGTTGCTGCGGGCTCGAGTTCACGGTTTCACAAGATATCCTCAATTTCGGTATAACTTAAATTCAGGGGAAATCTTTAAATCTACTGGCATGAGATAGAGCAAAAGGCATGGTAGAGAAATAAAAACAGCACACATTCAATCATAGAATGATTTTGAATCTCATTTCATTTCTTACTCCACTCAAAAGGAATGCTTAGTCCATCTCCAAAATATTAGATTAATGCAATGATATTGTTAATTAATTTTCTCTGTCACACTTCATTAAAAACACAGTTTCAGAGTTTTGGCCTAAGTCCCAAACTCTTCCGACCAGTCATTCTGTTAACACATTACAGCTGCTTCTCTTTAAACCTGTCACTTCACTTTGTACGATGATAATCACGCCAGGAATTCTTGAACTTGCACAGAATTCAGCTTAGAGATAAGCTTGCCATACCATGGAATTGCAAACAAAGTGAGAAACTCCATTTTCATAAAGATTCGTTTGGACTGATGCTAAAGTTGGTCTATTTTGGAGGTATTTTACTTTCTAATTCAAAGCCTTCCAGGCTCTAATTATTGGTGTTTTAGCTATCAAATACATGTCAAGAAAATAAGATAAAGGTCATAAAAACAGCTATTATCTTCGTCATTACATTCCAAAGAAAATTGGACCGCCTTACTGTTTAATGAACTTCATGCATACCCTTGTACATATATCTGCAGTAAGACTCCATTTGATCCGCTAACAGGATCACTAGAAGAGTGCGTTTGGAATGAAATTGAATCAAAATTTTGATTTTTTTCGTTATAATCTGTTGATACCAGAATGTGAATCGAACATCGACTTGGGATTTATCTTCTTCATTAGCTTTTTACGTTATTCATTATTATAACCATCAAATGTCAAATCATATACATTAACTTAAAGTGTATATTTAATCTTTTGTTTGGTTATCTAAGTATTGAAATTTTGGTTGTTTCACCTTGCATGCGTAATTTATTTGACCAAAAAAAAGATTATCCCTTGCGTAAGTTGACACATGATCACCACAAAGTCGTGTGAAAGGACTTGTAGACAGAGGAAGGTGAAGACAAGTTTGACTGTGCACTCTTGTCTGGTTTCAAATTTACTGCTTTTGACTTGATCGTGACAATCTATTTTCCAGCTTTCTTTGCCCCTCGTGTACTATTCTCTGTATTTTTTTTAAGAATGAAAAAAGCACTTTTGGCCCCTAAATTTGAAGGTCATTTAATAAATAATTTATTATCATAGCATATAAAATCTTGAACCTTAATTAGCCTCGGCTAATTTTAACAAAATATAGGCAAACCATCCCGACCACTTAGACCCAAAATTTCCTCTAGCTGAGAAGTACTTCGATTTGAATTTGGCATTACCTTATTCAAACAAAGCGTTTTGCCACTTAGCCAATTAACTTCTGGAGGCTCGGTTGATACACCGATTTTGGCTTTTAGTTATTGTCATTCTTAATTTTACTTAATATCGGTGCCGTTCTTGCATAAGATGAAGAAAAGACGTGGGTGATAGGGGTGAGCAGAGGATCCAATTCAATCCGGGAACCAGAACGAACTGGCATGGAATCACCAGTTCAGGGCCTAATTTAGGGATATTCGATTCGGTTCTGCGTACCTAGAACTAGCCTAGGAGTAGTTCAATTCCCGCTTCCAAGGCGAGAACCGCTAGTTTTACCGACGAACCGGTTCAAAATCAGTCCGGTTCCTGAGTTGAATCAATTCTAGACCAGTTTTGAAATTTCTTTTAGAAAAACAAAAGGTTCTTTAGAACCCATCACGAATTGAATAATGGTTTTCAACACGAATAAACAAGATAACCACTTAATCAACGAATGCTTTTGCAGTAAATTAGTACAACTTGTATATTTTATCATAAGAATCTGCTTCTTTACTTTAAATGGGCCCGTTCTCTGTAGGAATTGGGAATCGGACCGGGAACCGGACAGGGCGGTTCGATCTAATGGGAACGAACACAGACCTGTCTGCAAAGCTTTAAAGCGTGGCAATCGCATCTTGTCATCATATGTTGATGATGCTTGACAAGATAAAAATGTGCTGCTAACAGCGACGGTGGAGAAATTCCAGTCGCTGGACAAGAGGCTCTTTTTGTCTCATCTTCACATGCGTAAAGAAAGATCCAAGCCCCAATGTAATATCAAAACGTGTCTAACTGTTTCTTCTTTGTCCTCTTCTTTTCCTTTCAACTTGTAAAATACGAGGCGGGCAAAGTTGACAGAAGAGTTCTTCCTTTTGGCTCGTTTAGATAAGCACAATTCGAACACGCAGGCTCAGGACAAGAACTCGCACCATAATTGCTTCGTCTAGGTTAAGGCGACTTTGGTTTCCACCTGTTGAAGCTTTGCAAATGAACTACGTAATTGTAAGTTCCAATTTCGGGCGCTCTTAAAATGCAGAAACGTGGAACTTTCGTCCTTTCACAAACGGCGTTTCATCGAGACGTGTGCGTTCAAATAGTTTATGGAATAATCATGCGTCATGCACCTGACTGGGAACTTACAACAAAGACCAGACTTTACAAAGAAGACGACGGGAGGGGAAAAAGGAAGGAACAAAAACAAGAGTTGATTCTTTATCATCTAATCCTAATCATAGAGAGTGCCATGTCAAGATTCTTGGCCTTCATCTGAACGTAATCCTTCACTGTGACGGACCGGAACCGAGCGGTGACCTCTCGGCCCGAGGCCCGCGTGAGTCCATGAACCGGGCCAACGCGAAAGTCTGTCGGGGGTCCGTAAAAGTAAGCGACCGATAGCCGGTGCCTATGCTCGCTCGGGATCACCCGGTGAACGACACTGGGGAACATGGCATTAGACATGATGTGGAGCATGTCACCCACGTTCACCACAAGTGCACCGTTCATGGGAAACACGGGAACCCAACCTCGGCCTTCCCTGTGGACTTGGAGCCCATGTGCGCTGTCGTTTTGGTGAAGTATTGTCAAGAGGAAGGTGTCGGTGTGCGGTGCGAGCCCCATGGCCTGGCCCGGGTCGGGACACCGCGGGTACGAGTTCAGCTGCAGCGCGGTGCATGCGTTGCCCCGGAGTCGCGGCCAGTCGATGTCGCGTTCGGATATGCTGAGGTACTTCAGGACCATGGCGAGTAGTCTCTCGGAGAGCGCCTTCATTTTGTCCTGATAGTCTTCCATTACTTCACTGTTGTACGTGACCACAAGAGAACAAGAGAGGACAAAAACATGATTAGGGCCAGTAGAAGAAAGATCAATAATGCTAACGATGCCAAAGACTAGTTAATTGACTTACCAATGGGACATATTCTAAGTAATCAAAAGAGTCTTCTCTATCACTTTTAAAACCAAATTTTGAAAATACATTCTTGTACCTATAGCATTATTCGTTATTAAAAATCACTCTTTCACTAAAATAAGAAATTAAGTGTTGAGCATATTGAAAGCTGTCGCTAGAAGTGGTTTATTAGATCTACATAAACGATAAAGACCAAAGAAGTGGATACATGCGATGGACATTTTCAGCATCACTTAGTAGGAAGCTTGAATAACAAGCTTTAGTGTCTCTAATCTTTAG